TTGCCTAGGAGTTGGGTTTCAGTGCTTTGCTTCTTGTTACAGAAGACAACCCTAAGAAACATAAAATAACTTGTACTTTAAAAAGCATTTACCAGATACCCATTTCATGCAAAGCAAGACAGAATAAAGTGCTCCTTCTTTAATATTGTTCTCCACCTCGGCATTATCATGTTTAGTTTTCTTGTCAGTGTCCCCTTCTGGAAGGAAATTCTTTCAGGTTCTGTCTTGTTAAAAGGTATATGCCAGGCACCTAGTAGAGTCCTGGGTACAGAAGGTAAAATCATAGACTCTGAGGGTTGAAAACAGATGAGTGAGGCATGCCAACTCTCTAAGGAGCTTACGGCACGATAGAGGAAATGCACATAACTAATTCGGTAGATGAAAGAGAGAACAAGATGTCAAGAGGGAAGAGCAGAGAATTGAGGAGGCCTCTTATTCTAAAGGAGAATTGTCATGTTATAATAGGACGTCGTGATGTAATGGAAACAAAATGGCTTCACGGAGATCCAGGGTTGAATCCTAGCTCCATGTCTAATGAGCTCTATTCCTTAGTAGCTCTGTGACTTTGGTTAAGTTAGTTAACTTCTCTGAACCTCTGTTTTCTCATCTCTAAAATAGTATACCTATCTCAGAACTTTCTTAGGAGAAATAATATAATTTTTAATGTATGTAGTATAGATCCTAGCCCCTTGCAGGTGCTGAGTAAACATGAATTCCCCTTTAGATGATAGAAAGATTGGAGCATTTTTAAATCTCATTTGAATGTTCTCCTGAGATTTGGAACCAAGAAAAGGGTAGAAATTTGATTGAAAAATATTCCAAAGGGGAGAGCATAGATACGAGCAAAACATTAGAGGAAGGAAGAGGGGATTAATATTAAATGGATATGGTAGTGTTAGGTTTTTCTGTTTTAACTTGCTAAAAAAATATAATTTTAGTACTTTTATAAAACATAAAGAAGACTTATGTCTCACAAGTTATGTAGTTGGTTGCCTATTAATTTCTAAAGCATTTCTAACTATAAACTTGTTTATCTCTGAGAAGTTGGAGACAGAGCTCCCCTGCCACACATACCCCATTTATATTTGTAATCCCAGATTTTATTGTTTTTGCTCTGATGAAATTACTTGTACCTATATTTGTTTTATTTTTTCAAAAAAAGGGACAAAGAAAGAGATAAGCACCTTTGAACACAGGATCTATGATGAAGATGTTTGTCAAAGTAGGGAAGTTGAAAACAGGTTGAATTCCAGTTAAGGCAAATTCAATATAAATCATCCATAGTGAAGAATTTAAACACCATAGAATATGAGGCAGACCAAACATTTCAAAAGCATGGCAGAAATCATCCTGGGTATCTAATGAACCATGCAGTAAGACAAATACAATGTTTTATTAAGGCAAGTATCCTGCTGTGTTACATAAAATGTGGCAACTACAAGAGCCTAACAAGGTGTTGATTGTATGTATAGCTTAAGTGTCAGAGAACTGTTTCCAGTGTACATCATGACTAAAGCGAGAAGATCACAGAGATCTTCTAGAGAATAATAAAAATAACAAAATGATTTGGAAGTGGCAGTGATTTGACAGAAATAAAGCCTTGGAATTAGTGCATTTCATCTCAGAAAAGGTAGTATTAGAGGAGATGCATGTTGTCTTTCTTCATTGCAAAAACATAGCATTGAAAATGGGCAATTTCAGTACCTGTAGCCATTTTATGACTGAATTCATCTAATGATTCTGCTCACTCCCTCATTCATTTTTCATTCATTCAGAAAATGTTCATTGATCGCTTATTATTAAATGCCTTCCTGCACGGCAGACACTGTGTTAGGAACAGGGAATTCCAGGGAGAGTGAGAAATAGCTTCTGCCCTCAGGCAGCACAGTCTAGCAGGAAAGATAGACAACTGCACAAGTCACTGCAAGTTGGTGTGATAAATGCAGTCAAGTAGCAAAGTGGTTAAATGAGAGCTGGGGACTCACACTAACTTAAATGTTTAAGGGCAGACAGTTGGAGGCTGGGAATTCATGCTTTTATCATGGGTATTGAAATCATTGAAGTTGTAAAGGAGAGCGTCCTGCCTGCCTAGATGGGAGTCAACATGTGGTATTTAGCAAGTGGCAATGTGGAGCATGGATCAGAAGCAGCTAAGAGCTCCTGCTCTGCGTCCCAGACAAGATCATTTTCTTCTCTGAGAAATACCAATAGGGGTTGTATGATTTTTGTGCAAAGCTGTGACCAGAACTTCCACTTCTAGTGCTCTACTAACCTGCCTTATAGGGCACACATACACAGAGATCCCTGTTTATAATAGCAAAAAGTTAGACAAGTCTAATATCTAATGATAGGGAATTATTAACTAAACTATGGAATGCAATTAAGGATGTTAAGAAAAATGGTGTTTATTATGTTTGATAGATGGTAGAAAACATCCAGTTATGCTGTTAAAAAGAGAAAAAAATCTTAGCATAATCTCATGGCAGGGGTATGTGTGTGTAAACACACACAAATATGTCCAGCACACAACCATAGCTGTACCTCTAGGGTAAGCTGTAGGGAAGGGAAGCAGTGAAAGAAGAAAGAGAAGAAGGAGGGGGAAGTCAGATGGGACAAGACAGCATCTCGATTTTTATTCCATGTTTTTCTATATAGTTCAAATTTTCACAGCATCCAGGGACTTCACTTTGCAATTTAAAAAAGAAATGAGATAATGCCCACGAAACACTGAGCATAGTGTCTGCCATGTGGCTACCACTAAATGTTAATTGACTCTTTTAGGGTGGCAAAAAAATATGACTTGTTCAAAATGATTTAAATCTGCATACAGTATCATATCGATGGCTATAAATAAGTGCTTTCTCTCTCAAGTAAAATGCAATGAAATAAATTTTCTTAAATTATGGTCAATAGATCTTAGGTCAATTAGCTGGTTAAATATGTGTTCTGCTTATTTAATCATTTAGGATTTAATTATTCAAAACCAAGTTTTAACAGGAAACTTTCCAAATATAGATTATACCAGACTTTGTTTAAGTACCAGAAATTTCCAGCCAACTTATGGCTTTATCTTAAAAGTATTAAACTTTAAAAATATTTAACATTAGGAGTTTATTATCCTGTTGTCTATTTATTATTGAAAACCAAAGTCAAATCTTTTAGGAAAGCTGTCCTTACAATGACCAATAGATATTCAGTAAATTGAAATTAAATTTAATTTTATGGACTTTTTGTTATAAAGAATTTGAAACACTCTGTAAATAGATCATCTTTTATTATATTCATTTAGTCATCCTGGTTTTCATGAACACTGTGAATAAATTGAACTGAACATCAAATTGTTTTTTTAAAATATACTGAGAACCTCTATTAAAATTCTTCGTGGTGAATTTCTTTGTTATTAAAAACAACTTTTATAATTTGAATTAACATTTTCAAATTTATCTATAAGTTGAGCCTACTAAGTTTTCCTAAAGCAAGACCCTGTTCTGCCAAGGAAATGAGAGAAAAGTTTCTATGTTTTCATAAAAAATATTAAAACTTCATACTCATCTCTACAAAAATTAGAAAAATTAGCTAGGCATAGTGGCATGTTCCTGTAGTCCCAGCTACTGGGGAAGCTGAGGCAGGAGGATCGCTTGAGCCCAAGAGTTTGAGGTTGCAGTGAGCTATGATGATGCCACTGTACTCTAGCCAGAGCAATAGACTGACTCTCTTTCCAAAACAAAAAGAAAATTAAAACTTCAAAAGGTATTTCTTTTTATTTCCTTTTTGTGTTAATAAGTATCTTAAAACCTACTTGTGCTTTGTTTATTTTTATTGGATTGAAATGACGAAAATATTTTTCCTATGAAGAAATAACAATGATACCTATAATTTCTTTGATTTTTTTACACCCATTTATTTTTTCCAGTTTGAATGTTTCTAAATGTATTTAATGTGATGGTGTTTTCTACCCCCATTTTTAACCCCAACTTCCTGAGAAGATTATTTAAATATATTGTGTATCTTAGAATTGATGAAATTTGGCATGTAGACAAAGTTATGGGGCAAAATAGAGGTATGATCCCAAGTGGTCAGCTTCTGGCAGCCCCCACCCCAGAAAAAAATTATTTAAATTAGATGTCATTTCTTATACAATTCATCACTAAACACTCGATTCTTTGGTCTTTCAGGCTGGGGGTAACTGGAGATACTCCTCAATATACCATAGTGTTGGGAATACCATGGACCTTATTTTTGCAGAGTATATTGACTCTCAAATCTCGGCTCCCACCGAGAATCTCGCTCGCCTTCTCTCTTCTTCTTCTCCTCTGTGTGTGTGTGTGTGTCTCTCTCTCTTTATAAATTAAGCTTTTATTTTGAGATAATTGTAGATCCACCTGTAGTTGTAAGAAGTAATACAGGGAGATCCTATGTGTCATTTACTCAGTTTCCTCCAATAGTAACATTTTACAAAACTATAGCACATTAGCACAATCAGGATATTGATGTTGACACCATCCACCAATCTTATTTAGATTTTCCCATTTTTACTTGTATTCATTTGTGTGTGTATATGTGTGTGCATTCCTGTATGTCCTTAGTTCTATGTAGTTGTATCACATGTGCAGTTACATATGTCCACCACTACAGACAAGATAGAGAACATTTCCATCACCACAAAGATACTTTGTTTTGCTGTTTATAAGCCACCATCTCCCTCCCTTCCCATGTTCTCCCCATCCTCTCTCATCCCCCACCCCATGGACTTTTCACAAGTTGTGAATTTGATGGAGCATGTTTTCTAGGTAACTTTTGAGAAGTAACTGATTTCTCTTTTTCTGCTTGTGAATGTCTGTGAATGAATAATAGTAACCAAGCATATCCTTCTTGAGTTGTGCATCTCCTGTTGTTTGGCAAAGGAACCAACAGCAGCTAGGGAATGCCTTGGTTATGCAGCATTTCTAACTCTCTGAAGGAACAGAACCAAATTTGCCGTCTTTGCTTCCATTCTTCAGATTACGCTCGATTTGAGGCCAAAATCCATGACCTACGAGAGCAGATGATGAACCACAGCATGAGCTCGGGTCCGCGGGTCCCTGAGACCAATCAGAAACGCTCCCTCTTATGTCAGGTAGGTGATGGAGTATTTCTTACTCTGATCTGCACTTTGTGAGACAATCCAGCTGAGAAAACAAAGGCAACACCGTGTAACAATGGAACTTGTGTTCTGATTAACCCATGCTCATCAATACTTGACTGAAAAACCTTACGTTTAACCATTGGGAGGAAATTTTTGAAATGTTATTAGGCTAAATTAAAGGTACCTGCTTTTATCAAATTATTCTTCAACAATGTTATAATCCCAGGATAAAGTACTTAGAATAGGTTGTAATAAAAAAATAAGGAAGAGACATTTTCATTGCTGATAAATTCTTAAATTGAATACATGGACCAAAGCCCTGGACATTGCTTCTACCATCAGTATTGAATAAGAATATATCACCTGTATCATCTCCTAAACCTGCTTGATATTGATTGCATTAGCTTTGGTTTATTGATTTGATATCGACAATGTTTCTTCTAAAGAAGTTACGTATTTTGTTCTAAAAAGTTTTGGTGGAAAGACTTTCTTCTGGTGTCATAGGGTTACAATTGTTTCTCACACCATAATAAGTAGCTTGTATCAGTTGGCTGATGCAACACCTCATTAATTTTACCATAGAAAAAAAAATGATTGATTGAACCTGAAATGCCTTCCAGTCTTTCATCCTATACCTTTGAGGTAAGATCCATCAAACACTCAACTGTAACATGCTTCTCTTCCTTCCAAGCATCCTATATCACTCTCCACACTTCATCCAACGCTGCCTGTACTGTTTAAAAATAATATAAGTAACTAGAATAGCCAAAAGGAGGACAGGGATGCTAAATAATGGTCAAAAATGAATCTATGTACCATATGGAGAACCATGCCCATCCTCAACTGTATCGCTCCATTCCCCACTCTATGAACCTGAAGTCATATCCTCCTCACCTGAAATTTCACTTTCTTTTCGTGGGCGTGAGGTACGTGTTTACAGATACTAAATGATGTACTTGAGTTGAACTTGTCTGTTGTTCCACTTTGGCTGTAAAGTTATGTTTGTGTGTATTAGGTAAGGCACAGCAGGGGCAAGAAGAGAGCAGGAGATGCTAGAAGGAACAGGTTCTCAAGGGCCTTAATTTGCTGGCCAAATCTGACAAGCATAGAGTCCTTTCTTATTCATGGAGTTCCAGCACCTCAGAAGCCCTGAGATAAGAAAAAAGAAAAAAAACAATCAAACAAATTTATCATCCAAATTTGCCAACTGCATTTCAGAAGATAATTGATATACTTCATTAAAATCGTGTTGAAAGGAACTATCGAATATTGTCTTGTAGTGACAACACAAATACAACGGAGAAGTTAACAACCCCATCGGTGGCTATTTCTGTTCTCCTCACTTGTGTTGTGTTGTATTGTGGTCTTCATGACACAAAATATTTTAAAATCTTAATATTTTAGTCTTGAGTAGAAAATTGAGAAAAAACCAACTGGGGTTAATATAGGATAAATTAGCTAATGCATTAAAAAATTGATTATAATTAAAAATATAACTAGAAGTGAAAAATAATACAAATGTTGGAATTTAATTAAAAAATAAATATATCGAAATGTTATTAATGTAACTTAGAAGAGAATATTTGCTGAAAATACATTGTGTAATAGCTCTTTTAATTTAAGGTTATGTAAGACTAGGAAAATTAAAGAAGTGATATCGAATTGATAATTATGTAAAATATTAATACAACTTAATTGAAAGGTAGTGTTAATTAAAGAATTAAATCTTATGTCCTAAAATGGTAAAAAAAAAAAAAAAGTATAGAAATGTACATTTTAAAAGCTACAAAAAAAAGTATGACATAATGAAGGAATGAAGAATTAAAGTATAAAATAATAGTTGGAGAATTGTATTGAAAGGAAGACAACTTGTTTAAAATGAAGATTTTCAAAAATACTTTGACACTTCATGGGAAATTTCCCACAATGAAAGCTTCTAGCATATAGAATAGTGGTGTTTGTAAGTCCAGAATGTTCAAATTGTTAATACTTTCTGAGTAACCTACGAGGGCTGACTTAAGTATCTAAATGACTCTAAGAGACCATAGAAATGTGGAAGAAAATAATGAGCCATACATATATCACATCAAAGAGGGAGAAAAACTTACAAGGCCCCTGGTCTTGTTCTCCGGATGGGTGATACCTGAAAAAATCGGACCCAACAAAAAGAGCAAGAACTATGAAATTGACTAGCAAAGCCTAAATGAAATCTTTACCAAAAAGGATTCAGCAGGTATGTACCTTTGTCAATATATATAGTATATATATATATAGGCTATAGGGTTTTCATGGAGGTGCTTGCTCTATCTAAAGTGCTCAAATAGGACCAGTGCTAGTTGGTTGTGCTTATTTTAGAAAGTCAACTACTTGCTCTCTCCTCTAATTATGTAAATATAAGATGGTGAGCATATCTCTTAATCTGGGCAGGACACACTGGAGTATTGGTCTCCTCATTTTGCTTACCTTTATGTAATTCTAAGGCTGGAGGAACCTTAGCTATCGTCAGGTCCACTGTTTAATTTACAGAAGAAGAAACTGAGGCCTCAAGAGAGAAGAGAGTTGCCTGGGCTCCCACGGCTATTTGTGGCAGAGTCAGATCTCCTCCCCCACTCCGATGCTTCTCCCCACATTACTCCACCTCCCTGAGACTTAGCTCATGTAGTGTCAGCTGCTGAATGCACTTGAGCTGTGATTCCTGATCTCTTTCTGTCAGCAAGCCCTGGACTCTTAGGTTAAAGAATAGGTTAGCTGAGAGGAGAAACTCAAACACAAACTACTTTGGTCTTTTTATATAGGATAAACTGTGCTATAGAACATATGGGATTTCGTTGGTATTATTCATATTTTTCCATGAAGCCAAAACCTAAATTGGAAAACAAGCAGCTTCTTTGTTCTGTGATAACCAGTTTAGCTGACTTAGTAAATATTTGCCTGCACCACAAAATCACTCAAACAAAACAAACAAAAAAAAAAACATCAAACAAATTTTCATCCAAATTTGCCAACTGCATTTCAGAAGATAATTGATATACTTCATTAAAATTGTGAAAGGAACTATCAGAATATGTCTTGTAGTGACACACAAAATAACGGAAAGTTAACAACCCCATCGGTGGCTATTTCTGTTCTCCTCACTTGTGTTGTATTGCTGGTCTTCATGACACAAAATATTTAAAATCTTAAAATATTTTAGTCTTGAGTAGAAAATTGAGAAAAACCAACTGGGTTATAGGATAAATTAGCTAATGCAATTAAAAATGATTATATAAAAATAATAACTAGAAGAAAAATACAAAATGTTGGTATTTATTAAAAAATAAGATATATCAAATGTTATTAATGTACTTAGAAGAAATTTGCTGAAAATACATTGTGTAATAGCTTTTAATTAAGGTATGTAAGACTAGAAAATTAAAGAAGTGATATGATTGATATTATGTAAAAATTAATACACTAATGAAAGAGTAGTGTTAATTAGAATTAAATCTTTATGTCTAAATGGTAAAAAAAAAAAAAAAGTATAAAATGTACATTTAAAAGCTACAAAAAAAAAAGTATGACATATAGAAGAGATGAAGAATTAAAGTAATAATAATAGTTGGAGATTGTATGAAAGGAAGAACTTTTTAAAATGAGATTCAAAAATACTTGACACTTCATGGGAAATTCCCCAAATGAAAGCTCTACAATATAATATGGTGTTTGGTCCAGATGTTCAATTGTTAATACTTATTGAGTACCTAGAGGGCTGACTTAAGTATCTAAATGACTCTAAGAGACATAGAAATTGGAAGAAATATGAGCCATACATATAGTCACATCAGAGGGGGAAAAACTTACAAGGACCCTGGTCTTGTTTCCTGCGTATATGATAAATGGACCAAAAAAAGCAAGAACATGAAATGACTAGCAAAGCCCAAATGAAAATCTTTACAAAAAGGATTCAGCAGGTATGTACCTTTGTATTATAAATATAGTATATATAAATATGGCTTATAGGGTTTTTCATGGAGGTTGCTTGCTCTATCTAAAGTGCTCAAATAGGACCAGTGCTAGTTGGTCGTGCTTATTTTAGAAAGTCAACTACTTGCTCTCTCCTCTAATTATGTAAATATAAGATGGTGATGGCAGGGCGCGGTGGCTCACGCCTGTAATCCTGAGCTCTTGGGAGGTCCTGAGGCAAGGCGGAATTGCTCCAAGGTCCATGGAGTCAAAAACCACCCTGAGCAAGAGCGAGACCTGTCTCCTACTATAAATTATGAAAGATAATTAAATTGGCCACTGATATATATATTAAAAAATATTAGCGGCCATGGTTGGTCTCATTCACCTTGTTAGTCCCAGCTACTCGGGAAGCTGAGGCAGAAGGATCGCTCGAGCCCAGGGAGTTTGAGGTTGCTGTGAGCTAGGCTGACGCCACCGTGCACTCATCTAGCCTGGACAACGAAAGGGGACTCTGTCTCAAAACAAAAGAAGAAACAAAACACCAAAAAAAAGATGTGAGCATATCTCCTTTAATCTGGGAAAGGAACACACCGGCAGATTGTCTCCCTCATTTTTGCTTACTTTTGTAATCACTAAGGCTGGAAGGAACCTTAGCTATCTCACAGGTCACTGTTTATATTTAGTCAGAAGAGAAACTGAGGCCCTCATAGTCCCTCTCTCTCTCTGTGTGCGTGTCTCTCTCTCTTTATAAATTAAGCTTTTATTTTGAGATAATTGTAGATCCACCTGTAGTTGTAAGAAGTAATACAGGGAGATCCTATGTGTCATTTACTCAGTTTCCTCCAATAGTAACATTTTACAAAACTATAGCACATTAGCACAATCAGGATATTGATGTTGACACCATCCACCAATCTTATTTAGATTTTCCCATTTTTACTTGTATTCATTTGTGTGTGTATATGTGTGTGCATTCCTGTATGTCCTTAGTTCTATGTAGTTGTATCACATGTGCAGTTACATATGTCCACCACTACAGACAAGATAGAGAACATTTCCATCACCACAAAGATACTTTGTTTTGCCTGTTTATAAGCACACCATCTCCCTCCCTTCCCATGTTCTCCCCATCCTCTCTCATCCCCCCCCACCCCCCATGGACTTTTCACAAGTTGTGAATTTGATGGCAGCATGTTTTCTAGGTAACTTTTGAGAAGTAACTGATTTCTCTTTTTCTGCTTGTGAATGTCTGTGAATGAATAATAGTAACCAAGCATATCCTTCTTGAGTTGTGCATCTCCTGTTGTTTGGCAAAGGAACCAACAGCAGCTAGGGAATGCCTTGGTTATGCAGCATTTCTAACTCTCTGAAGGAACAGAACCAAATTTGCCGTCTTTGCTTCCATTCTTCAGATTACGCTCGATTTGAGGCCAAAATCCATGACCTACGAGAGCAGATGATGAACCACAGCATGAGCTCCGGGTCCGGGTCCCTGAGAACCAATCAGAAACGCTCCCTCTATGTCAGGTAGGTGATGGAGTATTTCTTACTCTGATCTGCACTTTGTGAGCAATCCAGCTGAGAAAACAAAGCAACACCGTGTAACAATGGAACTTGTGTTCTGATTAACCCATGCTCATCAATACTTGACTGAAAAACCTTACGTTTAACCATTGGGAGGAAATTTTTGAAATGTTATTAGGCTAAATTAAAGGTACCTGCTTTTATCAAATTATTCTTCAACAATGTTATAATCCAGGATAAAGTACTTAGAATAGGTTGTAATAAAAAAATAAGAAGAGACATTTTCATTGCTGATAAATCTTAAATTGAATACATGGACCAAAGCCCTGGACATTGCTCACCATCAGTATGAAAAGAATATACACCTGTATCATCTCCTAACCTGCTTGATATTGATTGCATTAGCTTTGGTTTATTGATTTGATATCGACAATGTTCTTCTAAAGAGTTACGTATTTTGTTCTAAAAAGTTTTGGTGGAAAGACTTTCTTCTGTGTCATAGGGTTACCAATTGTTTCTCACACCATAAAAGTTACTTGTTCATTGACTGACCAAACTCATTAATTTACCAGAAAAAAAAATGATTGATTGAACCTGAAATGCCTTCCAGTCTTTCATCCCTATAACCTTTGGGGTAAGATCCATCAACACTCAACTGTAACATGCTTCTCTTCCTTGCACAAGCATCCTATATCACTCCCACACTTCATCAACGCTGCCTGTACTTTTAAAAATAATATTAGTACTAATAGCCAAAAGGAGGACAGGGATGCCTAATTAATGGTCAAAATGAATCTATGTACCATATGGAGGAACCATGCCCATCCTCACTGTATCCTTCATTCCCCACTTTGGAACCTGAGGTCATATCCTCCTCACCTGAAATTTCACTTTCTTTTCGTAGCATGAGGTATGTGTTACAGATACTAAATGATGTACTTGAGTTGAACTTGTCCTATTGGTTACACTTTGGCTGTAAAGTTATGTTTTGTGTGTATTAGGTAGGCACAGCAGGGGCAAGAAGAGAGCAGGATGCTAGAAGGCACAGGTTCTCAAGGGCCTTAATTTGCTGGCCAATCTGACAAGCATAGAGTCCTTTCTTATTCCATGGAGTTCCAGCACCTCAGAAGCCCTGAAAGTACAAACAAACAAACAAAAAACAACTCACACTATTTGCCATCCAATTTGCCAACCTGCCTTTCAGCAGTAATTGAATAACTTCATAAAATCTTGAGGAACTAATCAAATATGTCTTGTAGTGACATTCACAAAATATGACGGGAAAGTTACACCATCGTGGTATTTTCAGTTCTCTCACTTGTTCGTCATTGTGGTCTTCATGACACCATATTAACTCGCATATCTAGCTTGACACTTGCGACCACTGGTTACCTGCGTCATTCTCCTCCTGTTTATATACTAAGAAGGAAAATTACCAAATTGTGGTATCCTTATAATAGATATTCAAAATGTTATTAATGTACTAGAAGAATTGCTGAAAATAATTTGGTAATAGCTTTTTAATTAAGGTTATGTAAAGCTAGGAAAATTAAAGGAAGTGATACATGATCATATGTAAAATTAATCATTAATTGAAAAGAGTAAGTGTTAATTAGAATTAAATCTTTATGTCCTAAAATGGTAAAAAAAAGTATAAAATGTACATTTAAAAGCCTACCAAAAAAAAAAGTATGACATAAAATAGAAGAGACTGAAGATTAAAGTAATAAATAATAGTGGAGATTGTATTGAAAAGGAGAACCCTTCTTAAACTGAGAATTCAAAAATACTTGAACTTCATCGGAATTCCCAATGGCTCTACAATATAAATATGGTGTTGGTTTCAGATGTTCAATTGTTAATACTTATTGACCGTACTACGAGGCTGACTTAAGTATCTACATGACTCATAAGAGAACTAGAATGGAAGTATGAGCCTACATAGTCCATCAAGGGAAAAAACTTCACCAAGGCCTGGTCTGTTCTCATCGCCGTATGATAAATGGACCAAAGCAGCACATGAATCGAACTAGCAAGCCTAAATGATCTTACCAAAACGGCTCAGCGTAGTATTCTGTCATATTATCATCTTTGGCTATAGGTTTTTCCATGGAGGGCTTGCCTCTATTAAAGTCTCAATAGCAGTGCTAGGTTGGTGTGCTTCTCTTACGAAAGGTCAATACCTTGCTCCTCCTTAAAATTATTAAAATATACGAGGGGGGCGGGGGGGGGGGGGGGGGGGGGGGGGGGGGGGGGGCCGGGGGGGGGGGGGGCCGGGGGGCGGGGGGGGGGGGGCGCGGGGGGGGCGGGGCGGGGGGCGGGGGGGCGCGGCGGGGGGGGCCGCGGGGGCGGGGGGCCGCGGGCCGGGCGGGGCGGGGCCGCGGGGGGGGCCGCGCGGGGGGGGGGGGGCGGGGGGGGGGGGGGGGGGCGGGGGGGGGCGGGGGGGGGGGGGGGGGCGGGCCGGGGGGCTACGCAGGCCGGGTGGTCACCTGTACTCAGCTCTTGGGAGGCCGCGAGGCGGCTCTGCAGGCAGGATCACCAGCTGACCAGGGATGTTTACATATACAGAATTAATTGGCAACTGATATATATATAAAAAGTTAGCGGGCCATCGTGGTCATACCTGAGTCCCAGCTACTCGGAGAGGTGAGCCAGAAGGATCAGCTCGAGCCCAGAGTTTGAGTCTGTGAGCTAGGCTGGACGCCACGGCCAACTACCTCTAGGCCTGAACAAAGCGAGACTCTGTCTCAAAAATAAAAAAAAAAAAATAAAAAGATGGTGAGCCATTCTCTTTAATCTGGGAGAGACACCACTGCGGAGTATGGTCTCCTCATTTTGCTTACCTTTAGTAATTCTAAGGCTGAGGACCTTAGCTATCGTCAGGTCCACTGTTTAATTTACAGAAGAAGAAACTGAGGCCTCAAGAGAGAAGAGAGTGCCTGGGCTCCACAGCTATTTGTGCAGAGTCCAGATCTCCCCCTCCCCACTCCGATGCGTCTCCCACATTACTCCCTCCCTGAGACTTAGCTCAGTGGTTCAGCTGCTGAATCACTTGAGCTGTGTCCTGATCTCTTTCTGTCAGCAAGCCCTGGACCTTAGGTTAAAGAATAGGTTAGCTGAGAGGAGAAACTCAAACACAAATTACTTGCTTTGGTCTTTTATATAGGATAAACTGTGCTATAGAACATATGGATTTCGTTGGTATTATTCATATTTCCATGAAGCCAAACCTAAATGGGAAAACAAGCAGCTTCTTTGTTCTGTGATAACCAGTTTAGCTGACTTAGTAAATATTTGCCTGCACCACAAAATCACTCTTTCCCTTGGAGTTACCTTCTCTACTCTTCTCTCTCTCTCTCTCTCTCTCTCTCTCTCTCTCTCACACACACACACACACACACACACACACACACACACCACACACATACACACGTATACACTCACATTCACACTCCTAACCCTACCCCTGGTCCCGGCAGTGTCAGAGAGGGTGTATCCTCTCAGGATATTGCAAAAAGTGGCTTCATTTCCTCACAAGAATGATCTTCCCAGTTGGTAGCAATTTGTTTGCCTGACTGAAGGGAGGGAGAGGTAACCAGCACTATTTGAGCCAGGCAGTGTTTTGAATTTGAACCAACCTTTTCCATTTTCCAATCTAATTGTAATGATTTTCCTTCTTTTAATCTTTTGTGTGAGGCTCTTGAAGTACTTTGGTAGTGTTATACAAGTGAAATTGATTGTTACTAATGATAATACTGTACATGTTCTATGGGCATGATTTAGATATGTTGATTTAATGTGCTACTTGTATTGTGTATTTCTTACATTGTGAAACATATAGTTGTTGAACTTTAAAAGCAAATAAAGTGTTAAAAATATGAATAAAATGTTTTTTCAAAATGCTCCACAAGTACATTATCAATTCTTCAAACGTAGATACACTTAGGCTCCTGAGTTACTGGAATATGGATTTTGTTGCATGTATTTTGGGTCTCTCCATGTGGGCAGAGAGAGTAGGCAACTACCTAGGTAAAGTGTTTATGAGCTCATGAAGATCTCCCTGCCTCGAACATATGCCCTTCCCTTCTTACCTACCAGCTTGTAAACAGCTGGTATAAAAGAGAGCAAGGCTTTTCCTGATACAAATCAGAATGCACCTTTTTATCTAAATGCTACTAAGAAAGATCCAAGATATAGGAGATTAAATTCCCACACAAAATTGCAGATGTCTAAAGAACAATCCTTTCTTTTGATGAAGGAGAGCCAGAGTACCCAGGGAGAATGGGGAGGGCAACAAAGTATAGCAAGTCAGTACACCAATGGGAGGAGAATACAAGGTCAGAAGAAAGAAGGTAAAAGAAAAACTTGGCCCATGTTCATTTGTTAATAAAACATATTGATTTTGAGAGTTCAAGCATATAACCTCTCTGTTGCGAATGTGGGTTTAAGAGTCAGTTGCTATCATTTGTTCATGCACTCATCAAGCGTTATTTGAGTGTGTATTCTGTGCCAGGACCTATAGTGGACACTGAGGATCAAGCAGTAGCAGCAATGTTTCTTCTCCACGAGAAACTCATGTCTAGTGGGGAGACAGATGAGAAGAAGATAATTAAATGCAGTGTGATATGAAAAGACCTAAGTTAGCCCTACAAAGTTCTGGAATCTTGATTGCTTCCTAATGCAGGGATATCTGAATTAATTCTTGAAGGTCTTGTATGAGTTAACTCAGAGCCTTTCAAATCTTTGGACCCAAAGTAGGAGAAACATTCCTTATCATGACCCAGTAAATAAATACACAAATAAAGCAGAAAGAAAATTTTTGTTAAATAATCCTAACACTTTTTATGTACAGTGTACTTTGTTATTTTCCATTTTATAATATTTGCCTCTCTTTTTTTAAAATGAAGATCACAACTCATTAACTTGATTTAATAACTCACAAGTGGTCATGATTTGCAGCTTGCAGATGGAGCGGACAAAAAGGAGCAGTCCAGGCAGATGAC